CCTCGGGCCTCGACTCATGCGGCTGTTTGACGGCTGCATGATGTCGGGGCGGGTCCCGCTGCCTTGGAAGCGGGGCCGGATGGTCCTCGTCCCGAAGAAAGGAAAGCCCGCGGACTCTCCTTCCGCGTACCGGCCGATTCCGTTTCCGCGGGGGACGGTCTACGCTAGACGCGATATACCACGTGCGTTCCCTCGCGGACCGGGCAGTTTCCCGCGGTGGTATGGCGTTGGCGATCAGTCTAGATATCGCCAATGTCTTTAACACCATCCGCTGGGACACGATCCGGGAGGCGCTCCGAGAACACGGGGTGCCTCCGTATCTCCGGATCGTGCTGCGGGACTACCTGTCGGACAGGGTGATCGAATACCCCGGCCGGAGTGGCGCAATCGTGCGGCGGAGAGTCAACCGAGGCGTGCCCCAGGGGTCCGTTCTTGGACCCCTACTGTGGAACGTGGGGTACGACTCGGTGTTGCGCGGGCTCCTCCCGCCTGGTGTGCGTGTCGTCTGCTATGCGGACGACACGCTGATCATCGCGGTCGGGAGAGAGTGGACGAGGACCATCCGCATTGCGGAGGTGGCGGTGGCACTCATCGTCGCCAGGATCCGGGACCTGGGGTTGCAGATCTCGCCGCGAAAGACGGAGGTAGTCATGTTTCATGGACTGCCTCTGTCGCGGAGGGTCCCCCAGGCCTGGGTCCGAGTAGGAGACGCCTGTGTCCGGGTCGAGGGACGTATGAAGTAGCTCGGCCTCGACCTGATGGCCCGCCGGCGGGGCCGGCAGCTACTGCGGCGCATTCAGCGCCGCATGGCCATTAGGATCGCGAGGGGGTACCGCACCATCTCCCACGAGGCGGCGGCTGTCCTGGCGGGGGTCGTGCCCTTTGATTTCCAGGCGGAGGCTGCCGCCGATCTGTATCGGTGTTTGCAGGGCCTCCGCCGGAACGGGGTCGACCCGCCGGACGACGCGGTCGAGGTGATGAAGCGCCAGGGCCGGCGGCTCGCTCGCGAAAAGTGGCGGCGCCAGCTGTATGACAGCGGCGCCGCCCGGCAGCGAGCCGTGGGCGCGGTCCTGCCCGTCCTTGATGGATGGCTGGACCGTCGGCACGGCAGGCTATCCTACCGGCTCACGCAGGTGCTCACCGGGCACGGTTGCTTCGGGGGGTACCTGCAGAGGGTTGGAGCCGAAGCGACGGCAGAGTGCCACCAGTGCAGCGCGGAGGTTGACTCCGCGCAGCACGTGTTGGAGGAGTGCTTAAGTGATTGTGTCAGGTGATCAGTGTTAGTGGTCGTGCAGTGAAGTGAGTACGTATTCGGTGGAATAACCAGGACGCACTTCACGTTACAACCCTTAACTTCGGCTGGTGAGGTATACCTGCGATCACCTGCGAACTGGGCGATACCCTGCCATAAACCGTTTCGGCCGTCGATGACCAGGATTGGTTCAGTCACCTAGTGACACAGGTTTACAAACTGCAGGTGAATTTCCGAAAGGGTGAGTTCTGATCAATTTATTGCTGATTATTATTTTTTTAATTTAACGCAAGCTATGGCTTATTTCCGGTGATAATTCTGCAAGTTTCTGTACTTAAATTTTTCTTCGGGCTTTTTGAAGAAACTTATTCATTATCAGTAACATTGTTGCCCGTTATTAAACTATGAATGTTTATGCCAATACCGAACTACGATCACTTCTCGTTCATTTTCTGTTACATTACCTTTTCGTTAATACGTTATTTAAAAAGGAAATTTATACATTCCTTAGCCCCTCTCTACAAAGAATTATTAGTTTCCATTCTGTTTAAAAAAGCAAATGTGCAATCGTCTTTTTACATTACACATAATTTTCCTACATTAATGCTTCATTCATTAATCTCTTTCAATAACAAACGACAGATGATAAATGGTATGATTTTATTTGTTACGTTTTTTTTATTTGCTATTTTACTCAGTCTACTGCGATGCATGCCGACTTGCTTGTCGGAGCTTCATAGTACAAGCGCAGCGCGTAGTCACTGTCAGCGTGGGAACTCGGCTGCCAAACTCGCGCTCTGATTGGTCGCGGTTTTTCGTTACTATCTCGGTAACGAAGCTTCAAATTATATTTTTGCTAAGAAAAAAGTGGTTCCAATTCACTCCCCGAGTGTCCCATTTCCGAATCGAGCAACATTTTTGTTACACTCTGTATATATGTACAGTATAGGTATATAGACCAAAATTTTAACATTAAACAACATTAAATATGATTAAATATCTCATAAATTAATAGGCGTTTGCGGCTAAAACAAATACCTTTCTTTCAAGGTCTATCACAGTGTAAAACTTTATTAAAATATCAGTGTCGTATCTCAGCATCTTTTCTTGTAAGACATTTGGCGGTGAAATATTCAATCGAATGTTCGCAATTAACCTAAAATGTGACTGTTATTGTCTAACGAAATGACAAATATGAATGGAATATCAGCGGTGCATGTTAAAAAATTGAGTAAATATAATCGTTTTAACATTATTAAGAAAAATATAGAGAAAATACAAAAAAATCTCACAAATTTTTCAGGTCACAACCTCGAAGAAATTCGATTAAGAACTTTGGACAATATTATTTTAAAATATGATCTTGGTTTCGGATGTGACTGCGATGCTGTTAAAAAAGAATTAATATCAAAACTGTTTAATTGGTTTTCATTTGACACATTCTCACAAACACAGAAAGTTTTAGATTTATTACTTCGTCTGTTAAAGGTATTTATTAATAATCATTTTACGTAATATTTTCATTAACTGAACCACAAACTACATTGACTATGGTACATTCTTCAAGACAGGTGACAAAAGTTATTTAAATGCTTTTGGTCAATCGAGATTTGAAAACGAACTTTATGAATTAAGAGGAAAACTGGGCTCACAGTACTATGACAAATTAAATGAAATCGCAAATGTTGTTACTGGTACAAATAATTTACAGACAACAGTAATAAATATTGAAGACTCAAAGGTTTATAATATATTCTTAGGAATTATTTATAATATGAAAGCTAATTTAAATATTTATGTAGTTGTTATTACCCTAGAGACATATTTTAACTCTTTTCATTTATTTTTAAGAATTCTAGTTCTTTGAGAATGGGATTTATTGATTATGACAGACACAGAACAAGAATAAAAGATTATGAATACAATGGAGGTAAAACACATGAAACAAAAGAAGATAATTCTTCATGTTGGTCCATTCCTTCTGTTTTGGATAGGTAAAAAAGATAAAAAATTCCAAATACAGTGCCAGTCCGAAAAAGTTTATAATTCATACTTTTATAAGCACGTAATAATTAGTGTATTTAGATTATAAATATCAATTTTTGATAGAAACATGTGATGAAGGAAAAAGTATGTTTGAAGTTAAGTTTTATCAAAGACTATCTAATCCATCCTGAATATTATATATCTATGTTAATAGTATATCTGCAAGGGTACATTTTGTAATAGCATATATAGAAGCTAGAGTAATAAAAAGTTGTTTATCTGTGCTTGGTCCATTAGCATGTCTCTTTTTCTTATGATCACCATTGTACTTCAGTTATGAAATAATATAATAAATTAAATTGTTAAACACAGTTCTATACCATTTGACTTAACATTGGAATGTGGAGACAGGACACCAATATCAAAGACAACAGATGGAGGTGTGAAATGGATAATAATGCCATGGCAGGCTTTAGTCACTTCAGACAGAGGTGTTCTAGCAGCTGTTGAAGAAGCTTTGAACAATATCACTGACACAAATCTTTTGTTACATACATGCCAGTTTATAACAAATGTAATGATGCAAGATTTTCCAGCAGAAGTTTTTCTTCAAAGACCAGCTATAGTCTTGGTATTAAAGTCTTTTCATTTTTACATACTTAAAAATACGCGTACTAATAAAGAGAGTGCAAGACCTTTGGGTCATCAATTTAAATGAGACTCCGAACACTAGTAGATTTCGTCATTCTATTTACAAAAATATTCATGATTGAAATTTCAGTACTGCACTGAAGTACACTGAGTTGAAATAAGGACAAAGCACTGCTATGGCAAGATACTGTATTGAACTACTATGCAGAGTATGTGGGTTTAATTCTCTGCATATGTATAGTTTGTTTTTTTATTTTCATGAAAATATCTTTATTTATTATTGAGGTTTTAAATTTATTTACTACATATACAAATACTCAAAGAAGTGGAAGTGATGATGTACTGAAAAGGAAATGGATCTCTAATTGAAAGAATTTACAACTAGGAAATTGTTTTTCTGTACTATGTATTTCCTGTTTTGGTCATAAATACCATTTTTATACATAATGATAAGTACCATTTTTTTATTTGTGTATATATATAATATATTAAATAAATTCAAAACCTTAATAATAAGCAAAGACATTTTCATGAAAATATGTCCGTAATACAACTTGCCTAATATCTACCATACATTTTTCATATGAAAGAAAATAGAAAAAAAAATTGAAAACGGAAATTGTGCATTTGCAGTGAATCAAATCCAGACCCCCATGCAGCAGTTCAGCATGCTGTCTTCACACCACAGCAGTTCTTGATCCCTACTTCAACTCAACTGCATCTAAGTACAGTTTTCTGAACTAAAACTTCACTTCGGAATGTCTTAAAAAATATAGAGCACCTGAACCCATAATGGGGTATTTTCATAAAGGGAACAACAAAATCTACCAGTGTTTAAAGTTTCAATTAAATCAGTGTTCTAAAGAACTTGCACTCTCCTTGTAAATATTAATAAATCAAAATTCATTTTAGATTTTGCATAATCTTTTGAAAGCCAGTGCAAATGCCTCAAACAGTAATATTAGAAGTGTCGTACCAATGATATTAAAAACACTGCATAAATTAACACAATCTCTGAGACTAAGAATCTATTATTACTGTGAACCATGTATTGCAAATAAAAAGCAAAAGGTAAAGAAATATATTTTAAGATGCACATATCTCTTATTAAGTAATACGCAATGTACCAGCAAAAATGATACTTTCCAGTTATTAGCAGAAAAATTAAACAGCAATGTTTACTCTTCTTCTGACACTAGAGATAGTCCCGATGGTGGATTTCTAGAAACTAATTATCAAGCATACCAGTCTACAGTATGTATCTTGTAAAATAATTGAAATTATTTGCTGTATTAAAAACTGTATGTTCTATACAGGGTACAAGTGAACGAAGTCAAAGCACGACAGACAATATTGATGATTCTATCTTGCAACTTCAACGAATGCTTATACCAACATTTTGCATTGAGTCTTTGAAACACGTTATATCACAACTGAGTATTCCCATTAACTCGACATTTCCATTAAAAAACATTAAATATATAACAGATCTGGCATATGAATTAGTACAACTTCTTATTACCAGTGTCATGCCAAATATTTGGCTTTGTAATGACGACATGGCTTTAAGAATAACGGAAAATATGAAACTACTATTTAATATTTTGGGAGACGTTTTACAATATTTCGAAAACTATAGTACAATTGATCACTTCAGGATAACATATCTGCACCTTGTGACTATCACAATGAAACTTCTAAGTAATATCGTTCCTCTGGAAATAGCAGACGCTGTTTTTCCTAAATCACTTAAAACATCAATATGTACAGCTATAATGGATGCTCCAATATATTTCTTATATCCGAGATTACATTTGATATTGCAAGAATATGGGCATGTGAGTAATTTCTAATATGGGGTGATTTTCTCGCTGGGCAAAATCAAAGGCCGTTGTTGTATAAAGCGACATGGCCTTTGATTTGCGCAGCGCGAGGATCACCTCGTATTTCTAATTATGAAACTAATTACTAGACTGCGGATTTTTATGCAAATACAGATTATTATTGTCTATTTTACAAAAACTGTCATCAAACAGAAATTCCTTTACTTTATTAAGGATACTATTAGGTTCCAAATAAAACAAATACATCATCAATGTTCATTAAATATTTTTGTGTCCTAAGATTTAAACAATCATATTCACTATAAATGCATAAAATCCGCAGTCTACTAATTACACATACTATCAATCCTAAATGTATTGTTGTATCACTTTCTTTTTGTATCTGTAGCAATTTCAAGGTAATACTGAAGTTGCATACATCAAAATGTTTGATGAAACAAGGATGATAGCAAAATCAATGAAAGCAGCTATATCCTTGATGAAAAGTACATCAGATTTGTCTCATTCAGATACTTTGAAAACGTTATATGTTTCGAAGTTGAGTCTATCTTATCACAAAAATTTCCATATTATCAAAAAGACCATCCGATTTTTACAAAACATACACAGGTAGGGAGTTTAAAAAAATGTATTTAAACATGAAAATTAGCTTTATGACATTATAAACAAGTTATTACGTTACTTCCTTTAATATTAAAGATACCCTCTGAACAACGAGGATCACATATTAGCCACAAAATTAATATTGAGCTTATTGGCTAATGGGGATATTTCTGTACAGTATGCAACTTATATGGAATGTTATACTTTAGTTAGAAGCATTCTAGGTATAGATTATAGCAGTGAAAAATTGTCCTGGGAAAATTTAACATTTCTGTTTGAACCTCCAATCCTGACAGAAATAATTTCTCATGGAGTGATGAGCGATGATAAGAGGGTAAGACAACATTTCATAAATGTTTGATACAATATAATATACCAAGAATTATGTATTTGTATCAGATAAAGGAAATTTCTGAAGAAATACTAGTTTATATACTGAAAGGAAGATTACAAATGGGAGAAAGTGGATGGCTAAAATTATTAGAAACTATTGTACCAGTATTACCCCTCTTGCAATGCCATGCTCATCCTTTAACAGCTTTAGGGCAGTACGTAACGAAACTCTTTGATCCTGATGTTTCTTCTAGTATACACTTACCATATATCGAGGTACCGTCTATTGAAATAATATTATAGTTTCTGTATAATGTATATAACGTTGTGATACACAATGTATGTATTCTTATCTTAAAGGTCCTCAAAGGTAATTTAAGATATCTGTTCTCGTCGGAAAGCGATATTAGACAAGAAGCTGTTCGCCGATTGATTTGGCTTCTCGGAAAAGAAAAAGATTCAGTTAAAAAATTTCCACGGTTGTCGTCTCTACATGGATTACCTCTTGGCTCACTTTGTATACTTGAACACCAAGAATTTCTTAAAAAATCAGAAGGCAGTTATCAGGTGACATATCGTACATTCTTTGTTCTTCTCCCAAGAAAATCTTGTTATAGTGTTAAGAGTTTCACATAAAGAATGATTTTACAGAGGAGTAATTTATTATCCGTGCTAGAAATGTTAAGTGAACCTAATGTTGATCCGAAAATGCGGAAATCTGCATTAGTCCAAATTAGCGTTATGCTGTCGGATAGTTCTTTGCAGAAATTATTTATTGCTGAAAATGGGCTAATATTAATTTTAAAGATATTTGGCAGTGCATTAGTAAGTTGCATCATGTTCATATTAATAGTTAATGTAAGCAAATTTAATTAATGATTCGTGTTAATTTTTAGCTAGAAAAAGATTGTATTAATTATCCAGATTCTGTGATTCCAATAATCTCTATACTGAACATGTTGGCATCTACCGAAAACTCTATACGTCATGATCTATCGACTCGTATCAATGTACTTTCGAATATAATCAGAAGTACGTATAACAAAACCATAGTTATACAGACTGGTTTCATAAGATTGCAAAATTATTACAATTATTTATTTGATACATTCTTCTCAGGTATCTTTTTATTTCCAAATAACGAATGTGTTCGAAACGATGGTTCCCAACTTTTGTGTTTATTGCTTTATAACGAATATATAATGAGATTAAATGAAATTAATTCAAAAAATATTTCATTGCCATATCTTATTGTATGCAAAATGAAATTACCATTTCTTTGTAAATCACATTGGAAAATAAGTATGCATACGCGATCAGATACTTCTGGTAAATCGATTTTATTAAATATTTTAAGAGTATAAGTTAGATATACAAAGCTACAGAACATAAAACAATCGCTTTCTTCCATATTTTATAGTTCTTCATAGTTCTAATCGATTGGTATCAACCTTTATTAAACAGTATTGGATTTGGGAATGGAATAATGGTTTAAGTTTGCTTTGGAAAAATTGGAGTGATGTCAATAATACAAACATATCAGAAAACTTAAAAATCCAAGAAAATGAGTTCATGACTTTACGTTTCAGTCTTCCTCATTACTATTGCCAACAGCAACTATACAATATACAGAATTCTACTACACACGATGCAGTCTCATGTGCACTTGATTATCTTACAATGTAACTTATAATTTCAATAATTTATAGTATTTCTGTATTTCTTATATATCACTAACCGTACAGGTTTTTAGGTATATAAAATTTTACAAAATGCAACAATACGAAGAAGTAAAGGACATAAGTTCGTTACCTTGGGAACAAACATTTGAACGATTTTTGCTCTCTCATCCTGCAAGTAAGGAGGATCGTGAATTGTTTGTAGACGTTGTAAACTTTTTACAGCTTTATGTAGATATTACGAAGAATGGTATGTTTTTAGTGAGAAATTAAAGTTACATATTATTTAGAATATGATGGAATCAATGATATCTTTTTATATTAATTAGGAAAAAATAGATGGACGAGCAAGATCGTGAAACATATAACCAAATTATTAGCAGAGTTATTTAAAAATTCAGAGCTGGATAATCAAGATGTACATCAGTCAATATTGAAGTTGGCTCGTACATGTTCAGCTGTAGAGAAATCCGAAAAGTCTGTTAATGAAGATCAAGATATTTGGCTTCGCTTTATCGAACTTGTAGTTTCTACTTTATGTTTTGGAGACCAACAGCATTTTTATAATTTAGGTGCATTTTCTTCTCCGTCGTCATATTTTAATGATATTTGTGACATAACGTAAATTATTATACTTATTTATTTTAGCGTACCTTGATTGGCTGTTAACATGCTTGACATATTTAATTGGAAAATGTCACTGGGCAAATTATAAAAGCTTATTGATATCATTAGGAAATACATTGATCGAATTAATCATATCTTTTCATGGCGCTGGAACTGTTAGTTTTATGGGTTTGTCCATAACTAGAAATTCTATATTATGCCTTAATCACTTATTGTATGAAATGCAGATAAATTTTAATAAAAATGTAGGTGCATATGTCTATTGTCATCTACATTAAAGGATGATTCAAATGATAATCTTTGAAACATTTTATTAGGCGTTCGCAGCATTTTGGTACGAAGACGGTCGCACATTAAACTGGTTACCCATGCTGTGGCAAAATCGAGATCCTTTGGTCCGGGCATCGGCTTTACAATTACTTACTGGTTTAATAAACAATGTGCATACTGCTTCTCAACTTTTAACTACTATAGCTTTAGCACCAAGTGAATTTTGCCAGACACTGCTTGAATGTATTGTCAACAGTGATGAATCATGTATAGTTAGAGAACAAGCATGTCTTGCGTTCAGTAATTTAGTGAAAAACTGCAATTCTGTGCCTTTTCAATACGTGAGTAAATATTAAGTTACCTTTTTCACATAAAATTACTTTTAATGATTAACTGGATATAAAGGAAAGTTTATTAATATAGGTCGATTCGTTGAAAGCAAATGCAATTTTAATATACATTGAACAGAATAACACTTATTATGAAATTAGTATTTTATGTTCTAACATTTATATGCATACTACCCTGGATTGCGATATAATGGAGAACCGAGATCTAGAAAGTGAAACTACACCGTCCATTCATAGTATGCAATCTGGTTGTACATCATTAGTACCACGTACAATTTCTTATTTATACAATTGTCAAGATGAATTGCAACTTTGTATGTATATCCTTGTATAATGTGTGCGTGTGTATATATATGTATTGCTTTGTATCTATATTTTTTATTTACATACAATTTATATATTTTCATGCATACATACGTAATAAGAATATAATATTACAAAATATTGTATGAATAGATATATTAATCAAGTATTATTAGTTTCAGTAGGAGGATCAGGAATAACAGACAGTTATTTACAATTAGTGGTAACACCATCCTTGATAACAGCTGTGTGCAGATTGTTAAATAATTTACTGTTTGTAGGAAAACAAGATATAGTTCAACAAATTTATGAACATTCTATAGATAAATATTTATTTGGGTAAGGAAAAGAACAGAACATTTTTTTCACATTCATTAAGGACGATGTTTGTTACAGAACTTTCTTTGTTTACTAACAAATTTTCAGGTGCATAAACGAAATTCCCAAAGATATTGACAGCGAACCGAATTTGTCACATTACTGTGATATTTTGGAAATGTACATTAGCATTTGTACAGTTCTGATCAATTGTATCACGTACAGTAACGAGTATATTACCGTCATTAACTTCTCTCCGGACTCGCTCCGTACACTACTTTGCTTCCTAAATAGTGATTTATATCGTAAGTTGGCACTAAAAGAGGTGATAGCTATCTCAAAAGGAAAATAATTTGCAATTTTATGTACAGGTACTGATACATCACACCTGGTGTCGTTAAAGAATAGACTGTGGGCGGAGATTTTTAATTTCATAGCCGTACTCTCATTAACTGATAATCAGCATTTCGAGACGATACAAACGGCCTTAGAATTATCTGATCCAAAGAAAGTATTCTCCTCTATTTGCACTGCAATAAAAGATTCTAATGTAGAACTTCATATGAGCGCTATTGGCTGCCTTGCGTTTCTTCTTTCACTGGATATTCAAAAAGATTCTTTAGGGAAAAGCAATGTCTCTTTGCAGACTGTAATAGATACTACTCTAGTACAAACTTCAAATGGCAAGAAGAATAACTTAAGAGAAATTATCACAGACATAAATAAGCCTTCCCTGCGAAGTACGAATGCAAACTCGAGAAGGTCAACTGAAAATGAGGACATTCTTTTAATTTACGATAAAGTAACGGATAATGAATTTCAAAAAGGGGAGATCCTAATCGGAGAAGAGCTATGTGGTGTTTTATTAAATTTGCTTATTGTTCATAATTATAATAAATCAAAGAAGAATCGCAAAATCCAAGACAAGGACTTAATCACAAGCGCGCTTACCAATTTGTTGTGTGTATCGAATACAGCTAAGAAGTTCGCATTAGAAGAGCATTTACCTGAAACTATTCTACTGATATTGAAAGAATTATACGTTAGGTTGAATCTACAACCTTTTGAACTTTTTAAAAATCAAATGGAACGTGAACGAAAGGTAATATGTTAAAATGTGAATCCGTGTATATGTAAGTCAGCAGAAACGAAACGTCGAAGAACCTGCTTGTATTTAACGTACAAGAAAGTATAACAATCTTTATTTTTTCGGTCATTACACTCATTTTAAATTTATCTAACTCTACAGAGAGTTAGAGGGTATAGATTTATAATAAAACGTTCTATATGGAATATTTATAAATTTTTTTTTATAGAGACGAAGTTATTATTTAAAAAACTTATTATTAATTCCAAGTAAATATATTTGTTTTAGTCCGTTTCCGGTAACTTAACCTATTCTCATTTTTATTTCTACATATTCAACTAGTCTACTATGCTACACTAAGGAGTTTTCTAATGCTGCAATTATGAATACAACTAATAGCTAATACCATTCGTATGTACCACATGGAATTTCCAGTTTTACTTTTTGGTTCAGATCCCTCCACTGCTACATGACATAAACGGTATTTTCATATTATTAATGAACTTCATGTATGGTCACACAAAAGAGAAGGAAGTTCTGACAAAATGTGGATTAGCAGATGTGCTGCACAAATTGTGGATTTGGATTGCATTACACAATTCTGTTGCAACGACTGCTTTGAAATTACTTGCAACTTACACTACACAATGTCCCGCGGGTATCCTTAAAATTTTACCAAATTAACTAATAAGAAATGCAGCGTAATTATTCGGATTTAATAAGTTTAGTATCATTCTTGTTATAGCGGCACAATCGTTAACATTAACGACTATCTTGCCAGGAGCAGGACTTAGAAAGACTCCCAATACGCTCGCTTTGATCCATGTTGTTATACAATTAATTTGTAAAGAGATAGACAAAGCTGGTCAGTCGTTTGATAATCATAAGTTACATTTTGCGTTTCATGTTCTTAGAAATGCAGTACACGTTTACGAATGTAGAGTATCGATGGCAAAGGTAAATTTATACCTTTGTAATATTATATAAAGCAGAATTAACGTAAAGTTTACTAATTAAATAAAATTTCATAGAGCAATCTACTACAGTTTTTTACAAAAATACATCCAGTTACCACAAAAAGGATGAAGCCATGGCCACTTATCGAACTGTATTGTTTGGAATTCTTAATTGATTTTACTTTTTACGACGAAGGCCAATTATGTGTATCAAAGGTAAAGTCAAGCAATTTTTTATGAATATATGGAAAATTATTCTTAACTATTTTAATCTGCAACCAATATTTCAGGCTGTCGACGGCTTAGATGTTTTATTACAGTTGTCAAAATGCTCTTCATCGTCTAATAGAATTCTTGCTATATCCATATTGCGCAATCTCGCATTTAATACAACAAACCGGCCACGGTTACTTAGTTCAGGTAGGAAATAATAAAAAGATAAAATTTATAATGCACATAGGATATTAATGTGATTACCAATACATATGTTTCAGTTGATTTCATTAATGTTCTACATGATATATTTAAAAATGGTTCCTTAATTGAAATCAAAGTAGCAGGTTCTATGTTGTGGTCTTTGATAGCTAACAATCAGAAAGGAAAATTAATTGCACGAACCTCTGGATTTTCGCAAAGCATTCAGGAGACTTTGGGCAGACTCACACTTTTAACTATAGACGACAGAAAACAGGAACAAGAATTAATTAAAATGTTACAATATGTATTAAGAATACTTAGCCCAATAGATATAAAAAATGGATGAATAGGATAGCGGATAAGAAAACCAACTAAGTAAGAATGTCTGATAAAAGTAATTGTACATACAAGTAAACCTTATTTTTGAACATTTTATGGACAATATTGATATAAAATTTGTAATAATTTGTTTATCTACAAATAATATATAATAACAATTTTTTATAATCTTCAAGTCCTTTAGGATAAAAACTCAATGAAATAGTGTATCAAAGAAAATATTTTATAAAATATTTGACAATAAAAGTATTGTAGGTGATTCTATAGATTGAATGTTGGAACCGAATTTCAATACATATATGCTGATATACATATGTATATAAAGTAGGATACCCGGGTAAACAAAAATTACCCTACTATATGAGACAGTCTAGAATCTCGATTCGGGAGTCGATCGCATAGACACATCCAGGGTGTATCAAAAGTGTCGCAGGATCTTAACTCTTTTGCGACGGCGATGCTAGCAGTTAGCCGTCAGTATTGGTCCGCTGAACGGGACAATTTTGGATAGTTTCGCGGATGTTGGATAATTCCGGCGTTGGGCATTTCAGATCATTTTGCAGACATCAGATATATACGTCGTTAGGCGCGAAAGGGTTAAAAGGGGTCACTCGTGAAATGATTTGGAAAAAGTTTTTCCTTAGCAAAAATATTATTTTAGACTTTGTTAACGACATATTAATGAAAAACCCCGACCCATCAGAGCAGGACCCTGCCGGCCAAGCTCCCGCCGTAGCGTTGGTACGTACTGTGCTTCTACTACGACCAAGCAAGTCGGTATGCATCAAAGGAAACTGCGTATAATAGCAAATGAAAAGGATGTAACAAACGAAATCGATCTTTTTATCATCTTTTGTTTGTCATTTAAAGTGAATAATAAATAAAGGATAAATTGAGGAAAATCATGTGTAACGTAAAAAAAGAAGAATAGGTACAGAGTTCATTTTTTAAAACAATATCGAAAATAATAATTATTTGAAGTGAGATGATAAGGAATACGCAACTTGTTCACCCTGAATAATTTCTAAAATATGCATCGTATGAAAAAATTTTTTATAGAGAAGTTGTATGGTTTGGAGGGATATATTATGTAATGTAAATATTTTTTGTTTAAGTGGAGGCGTTTCGGAGATTTGAAGGTCAACTTCGTTTTTGTTTAAATGGAATGCTATATTTTTTATGCCAAAATATCGAAGAGCGTTAAATTTTGAGTAAAAAAGTACTGATCTTAGTCAGCCGTAAACGTAATAATTAACGAATAATTTCACTTTGGTTCTTGAAAATGGTCTGTGCGTATTATCAAGTTGGAGATTCAATACCAGTAATAATTTCCGTAAGTCTTCTTCCATTCACTAACGTAGGTGTTTGAAATGATGTCAATTCACATCAATACACTGATGTAATCTATTAATCAGCAAGGAAACTGCACTCTGAATTGTTTCTGCAGCAAGCATATTGCATGCTTCACGAATTCGTTCTTTCAGATTCTCTGGTGTTGTTGTTGGTTCACGATACACCATATCTTTTAATGTACCCCATAGAAAATAGTCTAGGGGTGTAAGATCTGGTGAACGTGGTGGCCACAGAAATTCTCCACCACGACCGACCCATCGATTGGGGAATTGTCTGTGTACCAGATGTTTGTGCGGATATTTACTGGTAAATTTTCTAATAAACTTGGTAAAATATCACGTAAACAATTTGAATATTGTCGTCCCGTTAATCGTTCATTAATAAAATATGGTCCAATTAATTGATTGCCGAGTATGCCACACCACACAATAACGCCCTATTAACGTTGTTGGTCAACTTCTCTCATCCAGTGAGGATTTTCTGATGCCCACTAGTGCATGCCCTATGAGCAAACTAACGTCAGATGCACGGCATCTGGTGTCATAGTCGGTCAGACATGACCTCAGAAGCGTATACATCTGTCGCTGCATTCTGTATGTATATGCCGTTACATTTAACGGCATGAGACCAGTAACTCTGCTGTAGAACGTAACGTCAGATTCGCAGCAGAAACAGAGTAACTCTGCTGTAGAACGTAACGTCAGATTCGCAGCAGAAACAGAGTAACTCTGCTGTAGAACGTAACGTCAGATTCGCAGCAGAAACAGAGTAACTCTGCTGTAGAACGTAACGTCAGATTCACAGCATAAACACAGTAATTCTGCTATAGAACGTAACAGCAGATTTACTGCCGTGAACAGAGCAGTCTGCAATATAAGCTACTATCATAAACCCAGCAGGCCGTGTGCATAATGTCACCACAGATTGCTACAGATTAATGTTATAAATAGAATAGTCTTACGGTATAACCTAGCGGGTTTTGGCAATTAAATATTTTTTAAATTTCTCGAAAATATTTATTTACAATATGAATTCAATGATTACAATTATTACGAAATAATACGTATGTAGGTTATATATATTATTTATACGACGACTTCCCAAATGTTGTCGTCTGATATTTTTAAGACATCATCCGAGTCACCTGCTCTTTCTTCATTTTCATCCGTTCCTACATATGTATATTTGAATATATGCATATATGAAATTGTAGTAATAATTATTGGCTGGTTCGAAGGCTGTGAACAGAAAGACATGGGATTAAATATTCAAAATAGAGAATGAATATTATTCGATAATTTTTTGAAAAAAGTGGCACTAAAAAGTGCCATTTGGTTTATTACGAATATGGAAAGGTACTTTCCATATAAATTGAGAAGTGCTGTTATAGTTAGTATGAACGTATAGAGATCATTCCCGTTTGAGTAAATTAAAAATGAGCACTGAAAAGTCGTCTGAAATCAGCTGGTTTACTCCGTTGGCGTCCTCTTCTCCACAAAGATGTAACATTTGTATATATGCGATTGCACCATCGTTGAATGTACTCGTAGCAATGTCGATTGCTATTTCCACTATTTCCGAGGATGCGACCGACTATCGACCACATGTTGGGACTTGTAGGTTATTGTCTATTGTCAAGAATATTCGCAAAGAAGAAATACTTAAAAGAACCAAGCCATAAAGCGATCCGTACTTATGTTACTGTAGATAATTGTATGGATAAAAGGACGGAGTTTCTACCTGAATGCTGCGCTTGACTTGCTTAATGTTCCGACGCGGTCGGATTTTTCGACCGTGCACGTTTTCACATTATGATACTTAATTTACTTGAAATAAGATAAACTGGATTTTCAAACAATAAACCGCTTCTTTCAAAAACTTTTAAATACTCCTAATGCCTCTTCTAAATAACATACGGAAACAATAACGTATTCGGCGACGCGTACGATTGTACCTACTTTAAAGTGCACACAGGAATAGAGATATATGCATGCAGTGTGGAAGGAGAGTAGGACCTTTAAATGTTTTCGAACATTATGCATGACTATATAATTATTACACAAAATGTAAATATTTAGGAGTGTAATATTTACATATATATATATATATATATATATATATATATACTTATTTCTTACAAGCAATACATCATATCCTATTTGCATATAATAATAAACGCCTATACATATAGCATACAAATAAAAGTTGACATATATATATACATATTATTAATATTTGTTAACATATACATATAATTTTATGATTTAATGTTAAATAATCATTTAAGTACTTAAATATCGATTATAGCTGTATTTAGATAAACTGTAATCGATTTAATTTGCAATAAAGTAAGTTGCGCAGTTTTACTGCATTTGTGAGTGAAGCTGCCGTCAGAATATTAGCAGCTCTCTGCAATTTCTGACGTCACATCATGACACCAGGCCTGTTATATTTCTGCTGCTAGTGTACTGGCTAACTGGGTGTTTCACAAAAAATAATTTGCTCGCGATTAGTAAATGTCGCTTCGTCGGAAAATAACACGTTTTGTAAAAATAGATCATATTATGCATTTGATGCAAGAACCACTGGCAAAATCGAACGCGGTTTTGATAATCCGATCTGTGCAACTCTTGACGAAGTATTAGGTGATATGGATGATATTTTTCCTTTGATATATTATCCTATCGAGCGAAGCTTCGAACGATAAACAATTAACGCATGCACTCGCGACGTAGGACAAGCTCGTCCACACAGTCACCCCCTAAATAAAAGTCATTCAGCTATGAATGACACCAGCCGCTTACGGTCGACCGACGAAGACGGCTTGCTACCTGACACGGAGCGCGCCGCTCTTTATTCCTGAAATATTGAATCTGGACTTACTGTGTTTTATGTGCATTGCACATTTTATTACCACTTCGATCTTACTCCAAGTGTTTAAGGTTCTTGTATCCGCAAAAAAATAATATGCAATTAACATAGATCATACAAAACGTATAATGATATTAGAATGAAACTAAGATGAAATTTGCAGCACCTGCATTACGATGCATGAAGAAACTACATAAAATAAACTAAAGAAAATTGTTAAACACATACATTCGGTGTAATATGAACCGTTTCTAACATGGAGTTGGCATTCATGACAACTAGAGGGGGCATTAACCCTCTCTACTCGATAATAGTCGTAAGAAGATATTTACATCTCTTGCGAATTTTATCGAGTAATTAGAGTTAATGCGATACAGGTGGATTCGACTCAAATATCGCGGGCACAAGTTATCGACATCTTCTACAGGGTAAGTAGACAGCTGGTCTACCGACTTTTCTGCACGTCGTTGAGTCTTTAAAGTGACTGCATGCCCCTGATGAGCCGTGATCCGCTGACACTCCGTGCGCGCGGATTGCTATGATTTGGGTCAATTTTTAAACGCTTATAACTAACAAACGAAGCATTTTTCGCAATTTCGTTATTCTTGATTTTCGTCTTATTTTGCCTCAAAGAATCACCCCTTAATTTTTTTCCCACTAGTTGTAAGTATATATATACAGGGTGGCCCACATAACTCTTAACAGCTCACTCAATACCTCGAAAACTATCCCATCGATTTTAAAGTTCTTGGTCTTAAATTGCATGAATCTGAAGGGTCTTTC